TTCTAGTTTAGTTTTTCCAAGCAAAGATACTCCAAAGAGACCACCCTATCGTGCTCTTCAGTGACACTGAGAAGCGAATGCGTCGATATCAAGTACCCCAATACATGTAATACAGTAAGTGTGGTGAATGATAATACTATACCACGCACATTTTCATTACCGCCATCATCACATCATGTTGCCTTATTGGGACTGGATTACATTTGGGAGATTGTAAAATTGCAGTAATTATGTCACTGTTTATAAAGTTAATTTCTTGTTGGAACACTCCTCACAATGCTGGAAATAGCCTATCTGAGCTTCAAATTCTGGTGTATGTTTACACTTTACACTATCATGGTGTTATCACATACACCAGAATTAGCTAGGTACATTTACACCGTTTGAGGGTATGTTTACAGCATAACTGGTGTTAATACTTCGTTTAATTTTCTACTTTACACCAGATCAGTGTATCTTAAAATCGTCTAGTGTAATTATACACCAGGTTCAGTGTAGATTTGCACAAAGTAAGCATTCATGTTTTTACATCATACCGGTGTATATTACACAATCATAGTGTTATCTCATACACAAGAATAGGCTAAATTTACACCGTTTGGGGGTAAATTTACACCATAAAAGGTGTTAATACTTCGGTTTCTACTTTACACCAGATCAAGTGTATCTTAAAATAGTCTTAGTGTAATTATACACCAGGTTCAGTGTAGATTTACACTAAGTAAGCATTCATAATTTTTACGCCACTCCGGTGTATATTGACAATATCATGGTGTTATCCCATACACAAGAATTGGGTAAATTTACACTTGTTAAGGGTAAATTTACACTGCAATAATAGTTAATACATTAGTTTCTACTTCACCTCAGCTCCGTGTATTTTAACGCTTTCTAGGTGTAATGATACACCAGGAAAAGTGTAAATTTACACTTCGCAAGTGTTGGTATACTTTACACCGAATAAGTGTATATTTACACTATCGCAAGGTGTAAATTAACAGGGAAAGAGGTAATGTTACACCGTTCTAATGTAAATCTACACCGAATAAGTGTTACCAAAACACTAAAATAGTGTAAAGTTACACTGTGGAAGTGTAATGTTACATTCGAACGGTGTTTAATTCCGCGTTACACCTAATTAGTGTAATGTTACACCTTTTTGGTGTTGCCGCAACACCGCGAGATTTACAGTGTTACCGTCTTTTTGTTACGACAAAAATTGCTTTTAAGAATTAACGACAAGTATCCATCACTGAAATTTGGTATATAAACTACATACCAACACAAGTAGCTCCATTCCATCTATATCCAGATACGCAATTACAATTTATACAAAATAGATCTTCGATATGGTTAGTAAGGTTAAGCTTGTTAAGAAAGATGACAGATACATTTCTCAATTGTTTGCCTAAAGTACGTTTGTTGGATGTAATAAGAAGAAGTGGCAGTAATGAAAAGAAATAAATGAACATCGGAACATCAGAAAGAGAATTAAGAATAATCATTACCTTGGCAAGTTCTTCCATCGCCGAAAAATCCTTCATTGCAAGTACAATTAAAAGATTCAGGCGTTTCAGTGCACCTGGCATTCGCGTCACAATTATGACTCGGAATTAGACATTCAGGAATATCTAAAAACAAGAGAGGAATAAGAAAATGGAATTCGCAAATTTCTAATCACAATTTATAAATCCATTTTCCTTTAATAATTCTCTGAATACTACTCCTTATCAAATTATTTTTGTCTTATTTAAAAAAATGTTCTTTTCTCTCTCAAACAAGAGGTCAGTTGTGTATACTTTGTATGATTTATAGCGGCAGAAGATGAAATTTAATTAATTTAGCGGAGTGAAAAGTCTATAAATGATGTCGGGTGTCACTATCTCTCGTGGGTGATCTCAAAAGTATTGCGGTTTCTTATATGACAAGATTTTACAAAGACATTTGGAAAATAGTTTAATTAATAAAGTTCTAAGAAAAACAACAGGGGGCGTTGCTTTGATAAATCTTTTCTAGTCAGCTGATAAAATGTTAAGATGCTATACTCTGATTATGGATTCGATCGGTTATATCGATATATTTACCTTCTTGTAACGTAACTGAAATACATAGATTCAAAAGCCAACGAATTAAGCTAAAGAATATATACGGCCAAGAAAATCGCGAACAAATTGCTCTCAAATCTCTAAATATAATTATCTCTTCACGGATTTGTTTGAATATCCTTCGAAGCATAGGGAATACGTACTTTTTATTATTCCAAAGTGTAGCCAAGAAACGTGCGAATATATATTGAAAATTTCAGTAATCAGTAATCAGTAATCACACTAAACGTGACAGTGTGCTTGTACATGACTTCAACGAAACAGGCTGCACGTGACGCACACCTGCAAATGTGCAGCCAGAAAACATTCAAACCATCATTTAAAGTCTTGCTTTAATTTGCGTAACCCAATAAAATTGGAGTTTAGGTCTCTTGTCGCTATGCAACTTGAAATTTAAAAAATTGTTCATATAAATAGAATATTTGCTTGCTAATAGGAATTTTATGCCTTTCGTCTGAGACATTGGGGTAGATAGGTTGGTTATTATAATTGATAAGCAGGTGGTGAAAATATAAGAATTGTCATACAAAGGAAATGGCTAGAATGTCTCTAGGGTGCGGATTGATCAAGCAGATGGCTGAAAAAGAGGGTTTATAGTCCATTCTTCCATGCGGTTCACATCAGTCACATTCATTCTACCACTGTGTGAAGATATCAAATTTATTAATAACCCTCCTCCTCCCCATGTCTGCATCTGTCATTATTGTTAATGTTTATTGCCTATTTTGTAAGTAATGGCGTAATTTTGCCCTCACCTTTCCTGGGCAGAACTGTTTAAGAACATTTTAATTCGATCGACATATTGTATGAATCCTAATTTTTGAAAGTTAAATATTAATAAAGCGGCTGAGGGGAATCGTTACCCCTAGCCAGATTAATCCAACTACGTGTTGAATGTCTTGATGTGTGTCTATTATTAATACTTTGCCCAGCAAACAGAGCGCAGGAAGCTAGCCTAAACTCAAGCCTAAATGCCAGGAAAATACTATCTTTACAGTTGATTTCATATAACTTTTCCGTGAATGTTGCGAACTTCGTTCCGAACTTCGTTGTGAAGTTCAAAAGTTCATAATGAAATTCATAAGCCCGTATGTAAACAAAGCCTCTAATTGGCTTATTTTTGTGAAGGGACCACTTCACAACGAAGTTCGGAACGAAGTTCGCAACATTCACGGAAAAGTTATATGAAATCAACTGTAATTAATCTTTAATATTCGCTACTTTAGAGGGAAGGCATAAAGGTCTTATATTTCTCCGTAGTCGCATGAAACGTAGTGTGTAGATTGAGTTTATTAAGCCGATTCGAATACGAATGACGAATGATTGCCGGTACATGCAACAAAGACGTTGACATATTCATAATGTTTATATGATCACTTCCAGTATAGTCTTTATTATACAATCCAAAATGCGCGATCTATAGTCTATACAATGTTGAGATCTCGACTTTGCGTCGATCGCTCGGGAAGTTTAGCTTGCGCTAAAACTTTCAATTAGCATGCAAGCGTATTAAACAAACATCCACTCCACAATCTGTTAATATAAAGTTAATTCTATTCTTTGAAAAAGTACCTCGTGTCAGTAAAATAAACATATATTTTGTATTGTCATGTTTGAGGCAGCACTTTCCTTGCGATAGAAACTCCTAGATAAAATTTGAATACTTATGCAATAGACCTTATTCATAAATCGTGACGAGGCCTCGTATCCTAGAAAAAGGGGAAAAACGCGGGAAAATTGACACAATGTTTTTTTTGCTGTCGGCTATGGCAGCTTTTTTTCGTGAATATTACGGCTTTTTTCGAAAATAATATTTATAAAACTGAGCTTGAAAGTTGAAAAAATACTTCTGAGAAAATATAACATGATATTTAAAGCAAAAGATGCTGGAGTCAATCGAAAAAGGAAACCTTTGACTTTGTATTATTGTCGTAGTTTGTATGGCCAAAACAACCAACCAACAAGGCTACAAAACGTCTATACAACACCAAAATCGTAAGAAATATGAAACTATTGTTGAAGAAATAAGATTACAACTCACTCAGGTAATGTAGCCTTCATTTTTTAAACTTGTAAGCTGCTTGCAGAATGTTATCGAGCCAGAGCCATAGTTCACATTTTCCCGTACGAATCAATGACATTTGACGTTCTCTTGTGACTTTTGACCTGTTGTTTTCTTCCACATTAATGTCAAATTCGAAAAATTATACTTTCATTCCATAGTTGTCTTGATTTTCCACGGAATAACCTTTATATTGACGTTAAAATCTCAGTAAAATACTGTTTTTCTCTTCTGGATAAACACTGTCGCTACGTTGTCATTTTTTCCACACAAAAATGGGAGAAAAACCGGTCGCTTTTATAATATACTCGTTTACCGTTTTCGTTGTGGGCAGAAAGTCTTAAAATCCACACAAAAATCGTTATAAATCGCAAAAAGCAACAAGAAAAAAGCGGATAAAGTCGACACAATAGCATCTGAATTTGGCTTGTGAAGCAGTTTTCGCTTGTTTTCCCGTTTGTTTTTTTTCCCGTATCCTGGGATACGAGGCCTCGTCACGATTTATGAATAAGGTCTATAGTTTGCCAACGTGAGATGAACCGTTTATAAATTATAAATTACTGCAACATGAAAATGATGCGAGAATTAGTATAGGTAATCACACGGGAAGGAGTGCAATTAATGATTAACACTACGAGTGATATTTGAAAAATGTGCCAAAATTGCACGAGCCGCCGAGGCAAGAACAGTGTGTCAACAGTGTGTCAACCAGCCCTCTACTGCGTGTAACTGCGTGGATCTTGAGAGACAGATAGAGTGGTATTGGAGTCTCTCTGCTGCGGCTATGACGTGCTGAGCTTGATGCATTCACGTTCCGTGCATGCTTCACGCTGTTAAACACCATCAATTGGGCGATTGTTAAGGCAGGTTTTGTGGATCAGCTGATTCTGATCCTTTATGTTTGCCCCATCGAGTATCATGTTGACCAGAGCCAAAGGGGATGGTGGCACAGCTTCCTCCTGGCAGTTTGCCTTGAACGTCCCATCAAACACGAAACCTGAGTCGAATATTTCTTTGCGCACTACTTTTGCTGCTCGCATCAAATGCATGGCATCACTATCATGAGAACAGGCCATCATTAGGGCTGGTCCAATGTTCTTCTCGAAACTCAAAAGTGTGCCTCTGCCTTGCGAATAAGCTCTCAGGTCAGGAAGCGCGGTAAGCAGTCTATTTTTCAGTCTGGTGGCGTGAATCCGTTTCTCTACAGTTACACCAAGCTGCTCCAATCTCACCTTGTACATTTCAGTTAGGTCTACCAGTTTGAAAACGGGAGCAGTGTCCTCATCACTGTTGTTGTCTTCGAGGAATGCCACTAACTCAGAAAAGGCTATGCCATGCAGGCAAGAATCATCTTCATCATTGCCTTTGGGTGCGGCCTTCCTGGCTCTGTTATACAGTGAACGCAAACAGTCGTGAT